CAATAGCCGAGAAAAATATACCTTTTAACACCCGACACACAAAGATAGAACCGGTCTACCCAACACTGGAGTAACAAATGGGAAGAGTGTCAGAAATGGAGAAACTCCTAACAGAAATGTTTAAAATTACTCAGAAACTTTGCATTGAAAACAAATTAACCACAGAGGAGGCTCGCTCGATAGGAGGCAGAGAAATAACAACATATGAAAATCTTACAATATAACTGTCAGTCTTTAAATGCAAATATAAACTCAATTGAATTTGTCTTGAATAACTATAACTACGACATAGCAGTATTGTGTGTAACCTTTTCACAAAAAGACTCAACCAGCAGGAAAATCTTGAATTTTAAAACCACAGGTAAACACAGAGAAGATGGCTATGGCGGTGTAGTCATCCTTCTTAAAAAATATATCAAGTTTAACAGAATAAAATATACGACGCAATATGACATTTTAATAGTACAAACTAAAAATCTAGCCCCCAATATTACAATATGTGCGGTATACTTCCCCCCGAATATCCGTATAAACGACTTTAAAGAAGAAACTAAAAAATGCTAAATATGCTAGAAAATTATAGTAACGTCTTAATCCTAGGACATTTCAATGCCAGAGCTACAGAGTGGGGTGACACTATAAACTCGTGCCGAGGCCAAAATCTTGCCAACATTTTAAGTGAATACAACTTCCTTGCATTAAACGATGGCTCCCTTACTTTTAAAAGAGACCTTAGTCTAGATGCGGGTTCTGTTTTAGATCTCTCCTTAACCAACTCCAACTTAAACTTTAAATGGTCAGTTGACCCCATTAGAATCGGTGGAAGCCACCATTTCCCGATTACCCTTGAATCAAATATTGGCACCTATTCGAATTGTCAGTTTTTGTCGCAAAACAAACTCACAGAGATTCTGAGCAAGGCAGAGATAGAACCGGATATTAACAACTTCGAAAATACTTTCTCAAATGCTATTCGCGATGCCTCTTTCAATCTTAACAGTAGGAGAAAACCCAAAGCGTGGTGGAACCCTGAACTAGCCAAAACCTTTAGACTTCTTAAAGTGGCATATCAAAAATGCAAACTGCAACCCTCAGTACAAAATCTAGACAACTTGCAACACAGAAAAGAGAATGGAAAAAAAATGGTTAAGGAAGCCAAAAAAGCGAATTTTGAGAGAAAGATTTTCGAAATTAACGAGCAACCTAACACCAGGAGTGCGTGGAGCTTTGTGAAAGCTCTTATCTAATGACGATAACGCTAATTTCCTTAAAATGCTTAAAGAGCAAGTCCCCCAGAATGAAACTTTGGAAATAAATAAACAAATAACACCAGACTGTAGTCTCGCGAACACTCAGGAAGAATTAGAAGACGTGCTTAAAAAGAAAAATAAAAAGTCAGCTGGAGGGTATGATAGGATAATATACAAAATGATTAGGGCTCTACATGACAGATCTTAAAACAACCTCCGTACTACACTAAATGACATATTTTTGACTAATCAAATCCCTGATAACTGGCGCAATGTGAAGATTGTACCCATCCCCAAGAAGGATAGGGATCTTGACAATTTTAGGAATTTTCGTCCTATAGCGTTAATTTCTGTGCTACTAAAATGTATAAATTTGTGTGTTAAAAATAGATTAGAAGAGTACTTAGAACTCAACAACATCCTACCGCACTCCACTTTTGCTTATAGGAAAAAGAAATCGGCGACCATGGCAATTAATTATCTCCTGCATAAAACGGCTATCAAAAAACATAGAGGCAAGAAAATTATTTTCTGTGCCATAGACATTAGCAATGCCTACAATTGTGTAGATATAAATAAACTGGCGGTTATTTTAAACAATGTAGGAATTAATTCAAACTATGTTGATTGGATCATAAATGTTCTGGCATTGAGGAGACTTATATTAGCGAAAGAGTCAATTTACATCAGTGGGGGTCTACCACAGGGTAGTTGCCTCTCTCCACTCCTATTCAACATATATACAAAAGACTTACACAACATCAAAGACGAAAACACTAGCATCATTCAATTCGCAGATGACTTTGTCATTTGCTCGGACGGAGATGATGTTGAAAATGCAACATATAGATTACAACAAAAAATTACAATGTTCAATGAAATAGCGAAAAATCTAAACCTCTCTTGCAACCCACTGAAAACTAAATTATTGTATGTCAGCAAAGGTAGCAAAAAACGTATTCAAATAACTTTAGAAAACACTCAAATTGAACAAACTAACTCTATAAAATTCCTAGGTAGATATATCAATACTTCTCTTACACTGACTGAACACTACAACTCTGTAATAGACAACTCCAAAAACAATTCCAAACTTTTTAAGATGATCACCACTGTAAAATCAGGAATAAGACCTAATGTTGCCCTTAACTTTTACAAATCTTTCGTTAGATCCAAATTAGAATATTGCCGGACGTCAGCAGCAAATAGTACTGCAGTGATCAATAAGAAAATCAGAACTTTTCAAAATAGCTTCCTCAGAAGGGCGCTTGGAATTACACCAGCCACACCAATTCTCTTAATTTACGCACTTGCAAATGAGCTTCCGCCATTAGAAAGAGCCAAATGGCTCACCGCCAAGGAGCTGTTGAAAATACTAACCTCCGACAATCCATTAAAATCTGACATTATCAACCACCCCTATTTAAACTCCGGCTATAGCAAAACCTACTTAGAATTCAAACATGTTTTCGACCTCCTAGGGTCCACTGATCACTTGCTCCCTCCCCCCAACTTAAGTGTCATGTCCAAGCTCCTGTCCAACAGCAAACGCAACACACCCAAGGAGACGGTCCTCGCTACATATGCGAGTATTCTACACGATTACAGAAGATCTTTTTTCAAAATTTTTTATACAGATGCGTCCATACAACAGGACTGTGCGGGTATTGGCATATATGACCTTTCCAATGACCAAGAACACATTTATAAAATAAATTTTAATACATCCTCCAGCTTCGGTGAAGTTATAGCAATTTGGAATGCCGTCCAAATAGCTACCACAAGCAACTATGATAAAATTGTGATTTTCACGGACAGCTTAGTAACATGTCAATTGCTAGAAAAAGAGCATAAAGGCAACTACTATATCAACCTAATCCACAAAAGTATAAAAGAATCTGACACTCTGGTCCATGTGATCTGGACACCAGCACATGTTGGAATAAGTGGTAATGAAAGGGCGGACCAACTAGCCAAAAAAGCTTCTGAGCAGGCGCAAACTATTGAGGTTAAATAAACAGTCACCGAAGCTAGTAGGAACATTTATGATCAGATCAAGAACACCTGGTACAATGAATTTTTAAATTTTTCCCGCATTTTCAATAGCAGTCAAGCTCATACATGGTTTAGAAAATGTTCTTTAATGCCCAAGCAAATCAAAATCATAAATCGAATTTTAACGGGCTATACGTATGATAAATCATATCTATTCAAAATTAAAGCAATAAACTCAAACGTATGCTCCTGTGGTCAGACTAGCAATTACACCCACTTGATTCTGCATTGTGAAAGACTCAAAAACATCAGAGAAAAATTTGATATAATCAAAAACTCCAACAACCTAGACGAGATCTTCCAAGGTATGAACCCTGGCAAACTATCACAACTTGTACTTTTTATCGAAGAAGCTCAAGTCTCGTTTTAAATATTAACTTAATAAACTATTTCATTTTATTTAAATGCTTCAAATTACAACTCATTTTGTTCGCGTTTTGACGTTCCAACGCATTCGCCTAGCGCGTATCTAAGGGCCTTGCAAGCCCATCGGCACACATAAACACATACCTGGAAACGCAATCTAATGCCCAGTAAGAACAGTATTTGTAATCTAACGCGTTATATCCCATGTAGTGCTACAAAAAGTATGCGTGAGAAATTCAAAAATTTTCCATCATTTAGTAAAGGCCTTCGGGACCAATCTAACGCATTCTCTGTTGTACGTATGAGCGTTTATCTCTTTTTTATACACGAAATTTTACTATTATGAAATAGAATAGTTATCTCTTTTCAATCGTCTATAGCAAGGCAATTTTTAACGCGATATATAACGTATCACATGGCATACACATATAGTGTAATCCTAACGCACAGAAAATACATTTTCTATGTGATATACATACCCGTTATTTTTACTGTATAAATAACAAAATATTTAGTAGGTATTTATTTCAATATTGAAGTTTTATTGAATCTAAGTACTACAAATATGTATATATATCAGAAAATTTACGTTTAAAATTTTTGGAAATCGAATACAAAACATAAAGCTTAATCCACTTCAATTCTATAAACTCTTAAGCAGAGATGACACGATTTCTTCATTTGTACAGATTTGTAGATTTTGGCGGTCACAAAGTGGTGTTGTCTAGAAATTTTTATCGAGATGGGCCCAGGTCAATAAAAAAAATTGTCCAAACAACCCCACTCTGTGACTACCAAAATGTGCAAATCTGTACTAATGTACTAATGTGATCCCTGCTTTACTTAAATAAAGCTAAGAATCAATTTTAAGGAAAATAATTTTACTTAGAAATTGCGCAAATTCATTTACTTGTATTGAGTCTTACTTATAGTATTTAAAAGTAAAAATTAATTTTCAAAATGGTAATCCCACTTTTGACCAGTATGGTAACCACGATTTAAAAACTTGTTTGAGAACTTGCTTCCACCTCGTTTTTGCTTGATTGGATGAGTTTCTTCTGGCGGTACCGGTTGTGACTTAGCTCAACAGACTTTCTTAAAAGTTTGTCGAAGCTAAGTCGACCTTCAGCTTTAAAAACATCTGAAAGAGAGGAATGTAAGAATGGCATATGAGGCCATGAGAGCATAAGTGGCTTAACCCACAATTATTTTTTTTGTACTTAACTTCTTAAAATTGTTTCCAGTGTGATAAATTTTAAAGTAAAGGTCGCTTGTTCCTTAATTTGATGGTACGTTATATAGCTCTGTACCTTAAAATTAAGGAATAAGCGACTTTTATTTTAAAATGTACCACGTTTGAGACTACTTTAAGTAAGGATGTACACAAAAAAAATATATAAATATAGTACCTTGTATATCTCAGCAAACTATTAAGCAAAATACATAAAAAAAGAGAAATAAACACAAACCAATTTTAAATATAACGATTATTTTCGGTCTCTGGAATAAACATTTTACGAGATCAACATACCGAATAACAATTCATTAACCAGCACAAGCTTAATGAATGCCTTTTTATTTTTTCTCCCATCCAAGTTGAATAAAATCAAAAGTTCATCGGCCATAAGTTTACGTAAGACGTCATCTACAGTTCCGCTTGTGCCTTTAATTTGGACAAATATATTTTCTGTAAATTATAAAAAAGGTCTATTGAATAATTCCATAAGATTTAAAAAGTGATCAAAATATACCATTGCTTCTGCATATTCTTTTGCTTTTAATTTTTCTTCAACCTCATATGCGGCGTCAACGCTAACCATTGGCAATGAAGCTATTTCGATTTGTGTACGGTCTTCTACTTCGCCTGTCAAACGGCTTACAGAGTGGTGAACTTTGGTGAGCACGGCCTTGCATTCTCTTACGTTCTGGTTTTGTGCCATTAAAACACCTCTATCAAGCGCCTATTCCAATATAATAAAAAAGGCAAATTGGTATATACGTCTAGGCGAATTTGATATGAGTGTGAAAATAAAATTGTGTATATAAAATTGTGTATATAAAATTGCCTCGAACTGCATACATTTTCCTTTACAGCTTTCTCCAAAATATCGAGTCTGCACATCATTTCGTTTTGAGTTTCCAAAATTTTTGCTAAAAGATCTTTGATTTCTGAAATTGTAAAAATATAACATGTACAGTTACTCACAGAAATATTAGTTCTTTAGTTTTTTCATAATACTGAAAACTCAGAAATAGTAGGTGTTTAGTATTTTCACAAGTGATTGAAAAGTTTTAAATTTCGATGAAAATTATTTTGAAATTCGCCGAGCTTTTGCAACATATATGGTATTTTTTAAATAAAAATTACGGTTTTGTTTAAATAAAAATTAACGAAAAACATTTATAATGGAAGATATTTTTAATGTCGTGAAAAAAACTAAGCGAATACTTTCAACGAGGTAAAGTTACCTGTATTGAAATCTTTTTGTGTTTCTTTGCTTAGGTCTCTCGTATCGTAGGCCGAATCCAGCTGAAATTTCTTTTTGTAAAGTTTATACACTGGAAATAAATACAAAATAAAAATATATGTCTATATACTAAAATTATATGGAGAATTTACCTGGGGGTGTAACCAAAGCCTGGGATTGACCAAAGGAAAAATCCAGCTGACTCTCTTCGAAGGACAAATCCATGTTTGCTTAAAAATATAATTAATTTTAGTTATAGTTATTGACATTTAGTATAAGTTTTTGGCATATTGAATTTTAAATATTTTAATAGTTAAGTTACAAAAGGATTTTTTTTTTTAATTTTTGATATTTTTTAATAGTTAAGTTACAAAGGCAAAAGTTTAGTTCAGATTTTTAACTATTTACAAAAAGGGCTAGATGAATTAGAAAAAACGTGATTCAGCCAATATGAACATTTTAGTTCGAAAACGCGTGAAAAAGAGTGTGAAGAATTGGAATAAGCAAAATATTATTTTCTTGGGGAATACAAAAGTATTTGTATTCCATATCTGCTCTGTTAATTATGACTAGCTCATTACTAATTTCACTGGCTAAAAGTATTCCCAATCCGGGTGAAGATTCTAGTGGTTGCTCAAAGTAGTTTTGAATTTTTAGGAAGTTATATACTAGTACCACATCCCGACCGGATTCTTTACGAATTTCGATTACTTTAATAGGACCAAACAGAGGGGTGAAACAAAAGGAATCTTTTTCTTTTTTCGTATCTATATTGAACTCCCCGATTGTTATGTTGTTATATATAATTGAATGTGGGCCATTTCTCTCCTGAATTCTCAAATAAAGCTGTTGCAATATTTTGTTGGGTTTTTTTTATAATTTTTTTTAAATGCTGCATGTAATTTTCGAACCTGTACGCAGAAAAACTATCTAAAGGGCCGTAATTCTGCGCACAGTCGGTTAAATGCAATAAACCGTGAACATTAAAGCTTATTAAATGTTCACCGAAAATAATTCCAAAAAAATTTACGAACTCTGATAATATTGCCTGAATCACATTTTTTTCATTTTTGTATTTTTTTTCGCATGAAAGAAGTCTTATCCCCGCATGCAAGAGAAGAAAGTGATAGTACAAGTCCTCGTCAATGTTATCTTTTAAAACAAATATGCCTAAATATAATAAAAATTGACGAAACTCTGTTGATTTCCAAATAGCAATTTCGTCGAAACTTCTGCAAACTCTATCGAATTCAGATGGAACCAATTTTGAAACGAAATTTAGCTTTTCATTCATTTTGGTTACGTTTGCCTTTTTCAATAGCAAGTGAAGCAATTTTTTTGTTATACCCAGGTCAACCAAATGCATAGGATCCAACGGGAACTGTGACACCATGCCGAAATCATGAAGTTCTAATATGTTAGGTTGATGTCGAAATTGGTTGCAGTGATGCCCGGGATCAAACCTACTTTTAAACGAAAAGTCAGACCGTGCATCATGCATTTGCTTGGAGAAACTTACACGCTTCTTTAAGTATTGACCTACTTGTGTGCATTTGGGACAGCTGTTTTTTCCGTTGTGGTACTGAACACCTGTTACAAATGCCCGAGCAGGAGAATCACAAACAAATGCACGAACGCTAAATTTCACATTATGTTCACCAATTTTTACTCCAACTTCCCTCAAACGCGACACTTCTTGGAAAAAGTCCTTCATGAAATCGTTAATATTCCATGGCTTTTCGGTGCCAGAAAAACAAGCTATTACAAATGGTTGTACCTGGGGGTACCCAATAAGTGCTCCTAAAATTGGCCACAATAGCTTATTAGAGCTTTTAAATAACTTGAGTCCATCTATGCCGACATCTATTTTAATTTCTTCTAAGGCCTCTGGAAACTCAAATAAGTTTTCTGAAAAGTGTGCTTGGACTCCGAAATAAACAAATTCACCACTGGGTATAGCTTGGAGCTGTATTTTATTTTTTTCAGCTCCAAGTAAACTTTTCGCGGAAAGGGGCAAATCATTAACACCCATGTCTTTTAAAGTATGCAATAGATCTGTTAGGGAGTTATGCGATATACAGTTTCGAATTGCCCAGGACTTGAGTTTATGAACGTTGTCAACTTTTGGAATAAAGTTGGAGCACCCTGGTACATCGTCATCACCGCAGTCACTTTCTAAACTAACTTCACTATTGCAGCCACTTTCAATTATAACACTTGCACTATCACTTTCTTCACTTTCTACGTAAGCAAAACTATCTATTTTTCTATATTTTTCTGCATTTCTATTAAAATATTGCTTTTCTAAAGCCACAAGATTCCTAATAGTTTTTTTACTCATTTTGGTACTTGCCTTTCACTTCTTCACTTTTTACAAAGTTTCTCCTGCTGCGCTCCTGGTTCTTATGCTTTCTGCAACGTAAATGCCTTTTATAATATTAATTAATTAATGTAAATGCAAAATTACTTACCGAATCGCCGCGGCGTGGGTAAAATTTTTGACAACTTTGCGAAAATTTGACAGCCATTTTAAGTATTTATTAGTGACACTTATTTCTTAAGCCAAACCCGGTACCGTTGTAATAGTAACCGGATAGGTAAAGGCTTTAATATTTATAAGTATATAGTTTAGTGATTCGTTTGTGACAATGGAACAATTAAATATGCATTTAAATACTTGTAATCAACCATCGAAAGACACAAAGTTGAAATGTATACATATGAGTCGTTTTCCAGTATTACGTATGAAAAAATCTGATGGGTATCTATTATCTAACATCTACGACAAATATTTTCTACATCACTAATTATTCCAATTCGAGATGTAAGAAGGAATAAAATATAGGCTTATAGTCAGGCGAGAATAGGCTAGCTCACTCTTACATTATATAGCAGTTGGAATGGGATATGTAATTGTGTTGGTATTTATCGAAAATGTTGCAAGTGTATTTGTGAATGCGTTAGGTCGGTTTTGCTGGGTGGCTGCGTAAACACGATGCATCTAATCACACACGTTTCTGACATTTGTGCTGTCATTTCGGACACATCTGCGTTCATCAGTAGCAGAAAAACTGCGAGCAGTCTTACAAGTCATTTAAAGATATAAAACTGGCACGGATGTGCTTTCGTTTAACAGACTAAAAGCAAGAACAGATTAAAAGGCAGTGAATGATACTCTTCGCATCCTAGAGGAATAACCTGGCTTATGCAGCGCTCCGCTTTGCCAACACAACCCAAAACCCCCCCAAAAAAAAACGAACGGCCGCGACTGGAAAATAAAATTATAAAAAACTAAATCGTAGAACATAAAAACTATAAAAATAGCACAAATTAGTGAAAGTAAAGTGAAGTGAAGAGTGACACAAAAAGCAAAGGACGGAACAGTGAACTAAGTACAAAAACCATACAAAAGTGACAAATTGATGGTCGGGCAGCCGTTTTCACGCGTTCGGTTGTCTCAAAAAAAAAAACAAAAATCGTAAAATTGTGAACTCAATACGCAAACTGAAAGCGAATTAGTGAACTGAAAAAAAAAAGATATATATAATCATTTGGACAATATAAGGAGCAACAGGTGGATAATGTGCGCAACTGTGTGCACGGGTTTTGCTAGCGCCATCCCCGCAGGAATTTGGTGCTACGCAAAGTTGGTCATAAGCAAAAACCACACAATCCTAATAATAAGTGCAACCGCGAAAATTGAACAAATACAAAACGTTAAAATCGTGTCTAGCTACAAAAAATTAAAACAAAAATTTAAAATAAAGTTTAATCACTGGATTTTTGCTTTTCTCGAGGCCAGCAAGCGAGCAACAACTACAACAGTTCGACCGACATCGCAGGGAATTGGAGGGATACGCGCCAACACAGCAATCCAACTCTTAACGGCTAAGTTCAAACTCATGGCAGAGTAAGTCATAATACTGATATATATACATACGTACATACATACGTGCTTATATCCATAAAAACTTAGCGGTGCTTCAAACAAAACAAGTAGGAAGGTCTAAGTTTGGGGTGGAGCCGATCATTAAATACCCGGCGCAAGTATTAAATATAAGTATTTTTCACCTCTCCGAAACCTACCGCTAGATGGTAAGCCGGGGTGTATCAATTTTGAGTAAATTAGCGTCCTTAAATTTCGAAATTTCGAAGTTTTAAGCAGTTCTGAAATTTACCGTTATATGAAAAGCGGCCTCAATTTTAGTCCGATTTCAATAATTTTCAACGTTTTGCTTTTACGTGGCAAGCACAATAAAAATACCGAGTTTGGTACACATTGGTAGAACGGTTACCGATATACATATACGTGATCATAAGTGGGCGGTGCCACGCCCATTTTCCAAAATTTTAACATAAACATATTTCTTGGTAAAGAATTGTTGCAAGCGTCAATTTTATTTACTGATTTGTCGAAGATTTCGTATTTCTCTAAATTACCCTTATATGGACTGTGGGCGTGGTTATTGTCCGATTTTAAAAATTTTCGGCCATTTAGCATGCTGTATAAAGGCCAACAACTGTGC